TTTTTTCCTTATCACCATATTTTGCCATCTTAATTACAATATGTCTTTTTTTAAAGATTTTATTTATTTATTTGAGGGGGAGGGAGGAGGACAAGCAGACTCTGCAGAGTGCAGAGCCTGACGTGGGGCTCGATCTTATGACCCTGAGATCATGACGTGAGCCAAAACCAAGAGTCAGATGCTTAACTGACTGAGCCACCCAGGCGCCCCTACAATATGTCTTGATGTGGATCTGCTTTTGATAATTTTGTTAGGGGTTCTCTGTGACACCTGGATCTAGATATCTGTTTCCTTCCCCAGGTTAGGGAAGTTTTCAGCCACTATTTCTTCAAAGAAATTCTCTGCCCCCTTTTCTCTTTATTCTTCTTCTGGGACTCCTATAATATGAATGTTATTATGTTTGATGGAGTCAACTGAGTTCCCTAGTCTGTTCTCATTTTGCACAATTCTTTTTTCTCTCTTTTGTTCATCTTATTTTCCATTACTCTTCTAGGTCACTAATTCATTTCTCTGCTTATTTCATCCTGCTTTTCATTCCATCAAGTGTGTTTCTCATTTTGTTTATTGAGATCTTTATCTCTGCTTTGTTATCCCTTATCTCTGTGTTCATGGTCTCACTGATGCCTTCCACTCTTTTCTCAAGTCCAGTGAGTATCCTTGTGGTCATTGCTTTAAATTCTCCATCAGGGGGCGCCTGGATGGCTCAGTCAGTTGAGCATCTGACTCTTGGTTTCTGCTTGGGTTGTGGCCTCGAGGTCATGGAATCAAGTCCCTCGTTGGGCTCCATGCTCGGTGTGGAATCTGCTTGGAATTCTCTCTCTCTCTCTCTCCCTCTGCCCCTACCCCTGCTCACACTGTCTCTCTAAAATAAATTAATCTTGGGCGCCTGGGTGGCTCAGTTGGTTGGGCGACTGCCTTCGGCTCAGGTCATGATCCTGGAGTCCCTGGATCGAGTCCCGCATCGGGCTCCCTGCTCGGCGGGGAGTCTGCTTCTCCCTCTGACCCTCCCCCCTCTCATGTGCTCTCTCTCATTCTCTCTCTCTCAAATAAATAAATAAAATCTTTAAAAATAAATAAAATAAAATAAAATAAATGAATCTTTTAAAAAAATTCTCCACCAGGCATGTTACTTGTATCTGTTTCACTTAGATCTCTGGCCGTGGCCTCATCCTGTTCTTTCATGTGGGATAAATCTCTCTGTCTTCTCATTTTGTCTAAGTCTCTATGCCTGTCTTGGTGTGTTAGGAAAGTCAGCTACATCTCCTGTTCTTTTTTTTTTTTTTAAAGATTTTATTTATTTATTTGACAGAGAAAGACACAGCGAGAGAGGGAACACAAACGGGGAGTGGGAGAGGGAGAAGCAGACTCCCTGCCGAGCAGGGAGCCCGATGTGGGACTCGATCCAGGGACTCCAGGATCATGACCTGAGCCGAAGGCAGTCACTTAACCAACTGAGCCACCCAGGCGCCCTACATCTCCTGTTCTTAAGGGTAACTGCCTTATGAGGAAGAAGTGCTATAGTGCCCTGCCATGTGGTGTCCCCTGTTCCCCAGGGCCTGGCGCTTCTGGGAGTGTCTCCAGTGTGTGCTGTGTGTCCTCTGCTGTTGTGTCCTGACCACTTTATCCTTCAGGCCAGGCATCTGCAGAGGCTCTCTTTGCCTGTTGTGGGCAGAGTTTGGTCCCTGGCCTGAATGTGGCACATTTTAACTAGGTGTGCTCTGGTCTGTTTGTGAAGTGAGACCTGTCGGGGCCTCACAAAACTCCTGGGTCAGGAGATGCAGTATTGGCAAGGGTTTGGGCCGGTCTCCTGGGGGAGGGGGCCTGCAGACCTGGAGCTGAGGGAAGCGTGACTGGGAAGGGTGTTTCTTCTAGAGCATGGGGCTGTGGAAGAGCTTGGGTGTAAGCAAGTTAGGTAGCAAGTGTCAGTACTGTGCTGGTTCCTGCAGGTGGCCCTGTGCTTATGCTGGCGGGGGTGGGGAGTGAAATGGTACCTGCCAGTTTCTTTGTTCCCCAAGGGGTCTCTCCATGAATGCTGCCTGTCTGGGACATGCTCCAAGATGAGCAGATAACCTCCGTACTGTGCCCCGGGTGCTCTTCAGATCTCTGTTTCCACACTGTATATCCATGGGCTGTTTGTCCTGCTTTCTCCCCAGGAGCAGCCCCAGTGTCCTCTGAGCTCTTCCAAAGCCAAGCACGCTGAGGTTTAAAACTCCACTTTAAGCCCTACTGATTGCAAGAGCTCACGAAATTCAGGCCCTCTCGCTTTCCAAGCCAGTTGCTGTGGGGATTTGTTTTCCCCACGTGCTCCCCTGTGTGCTAGTCTGTCTCTTGCCCTTCTCCGTGACCAAGGCTCCCTCCCCATTGCAGCAGCCATAATCCATTTCTCTCCTAAGCCAGGTCTCTGTACTTCCTACCTTCTTTGATGTGGCCTTGTCTCTACCTCGTGGAGTTTGTTCTGCCAATCTTCAGATGAATTTCTGGGGCATTTAGGATGATTTGATAGTTATCTAGTTGTATTTGTGGGACGAGGCATGCCTTAGGGTCCTTCTACTCTGCCACTGTCTTCCAAGATCTCTCTTGAGAAAGAATAGTCTCTTTAATAAATGATACTGGAATAATTGAACAGTGAAGTTGGACCTCTACCTCCCTCCATATACAAAAATAAGCTCAAAGTGGATCAGAGACCTGATTGTAAGGGTTAGAACTATAAAAGAAGAAACCATGGGAGGGGTGCCTGGGTGGCTCAGTCGGTTAAGCGGCTGCCTTCGGCTCAGGTCATGATCCCAGGGTCCTGGGATCGAGCCCCACATCGGGCTCCCTGCTCTGCGGGAAGCCTGCTTCTCCCTCTCCACTCCCCCTGCTTGTGTTCCCTCTCTCACTGTCTCTCTCTCTCTGTCAAATAAATAAATAAAATCTTTAAAAAAAAAAAAATAAAAAAAAAATAAAAAAAAAAATAAAAAAAAAAAAAAAAAAAAAAAAAAAAAAAAAGAAACCATGGGAGTAAATCTTTGTGACCTTGGATTAGGCAGTGGTTTCTGGATATGACACCAGAAAAGCACAAGCAACAAAAGAACAGATACATTGGACTTCATTAAAATTCAAAATTTTGTACTTCGAAGGACACCATCCAGAAGGTGAAAAGACAACTCTCAGAATGGAGTAAAATATTTACAAATCATACATCTGATAAGGGACTTAGATCTAGAATATATAAGTGGCTTTTACAGCACACAATAAAAAGACAAATGGCCCAATTAAAAAGGGCGAAAGATTTGAATAGACATTTTTCCAAAGAAGTTATGCAAATGGGCAATAAACATATAAAAAGATGCACAACATCATTAGTCATTAGAGAGCTACAAGTCAAAACCAAATGAGATACTACTTCACACCAACTAGGATGGCTATAATCAAAAAGACAGTAACAAGTGTTGAGGATATGGAGAAATTAGAATCCTCATACATTACTGGTGAGAATGTAAAATGGTGCAGCCACTCTGGAAAGCAGTTTGGCAGTTCCTCAAAAAGTTAAACATTGAATTACCGTATAATTCAATTCCATTCCTAAGTATATTCCCAAGAGAATTGAAAGCATGTCTACATAAAAACTTGTACACAGATGTTCATAGCAGTATTATTCATAATAATAACAAGTGGAAACTACTCAAATGTTTATCAGTTGGCGAATGGATAAACAAATGTTGTAGATCCATAAAATGGAAAATTATTCGGCCATGAAAAGGAATTAAATACCAATACATGCTTACATCATAGATGACCCGTGAAAGCATCCTGAGTGAACAAAGCCAATAAAAAAAAGAAAACCCCATGTTGTATGATGGCATTTATATTAATATCCAAAATAGGCAAATCCAGAAAGTAGATTAGTGGTTGCCAGGGAATAAGGTAGGGAGATTAAGGAGAATTGCTTATGGGCAGGGGTTTCTTTTTGGTGTTATGAACATGTTCTAAAATTAAATAGTGGTGATGGTTATACAGTTGTCTGAATACACTTAAAACCTTTGATGTGCATACTTTAAAGGGTGAATTTTATGATATGTCATATTATATTTCAACAAAGCTGTTATAAAAAATTAGATTTAGCACTTTGGTTAATTCAAGTAGCATAGCTTCAAACATGTCAACTCAGACTTTTTAAATTGAAATTAATGAAAATGTAAACCTCATGTAAAATTTAAGCATAATTAGCCAAAGTAAAAATGCAGTTTTCTGAACCACTATTTAATTTTTATCATACTGTTTTATTTCCTGATTTTTTTTCATTGATGCTTTTACAAATTTAATGCAGGATTCCTCTTTTAATTTCTTTAAAATGTGTTTAGAATGTCAGAATGGAAGCAAGGTTTAAAAAATTAAGTATAAATTAGAATAGCATGAAAGAGCAAGATTGTAATTACTAAAGAGCTGTGTTTGATAACAATGTATTCTTGTAGGTTCCATAAATAAGTTCCTCACAATTATATAAGCTGCAGAGCTTGCAAGAAAGGCAAAAGTTTAGGGTTAGGATGAAGTCTGAGTCTAGCTCAAACCCATGAGGAGAGCTACTTCCTTCTCTTGTTGACTTCCCATTTGAGAAGGTTTTTCAGGTTGGGGATTGATCAGGAGTGTAAGGAAAAATGACTTTCCATACTATTGTGCAGTTATTCCTCAAACTACAGTGCTATTTGGTTCTGTGTCTGGGAATCTTAGTAGTGGGGATCATTGACAGATTTGTACAGAGGCCAGAACCTTGATAAGTTTATTGATGCACATCAAGGTAATTTCATCTTCCTGAATCTTCATGGAACATTTGAAACCCATTAACAGATCGTCACAGTGTAAATGCCTACAGGAATTAGTGAATGTTAATTATCACACCACAGAAAGATACATATTAACAGAGTTTTGCCCAAACAAATTTCAGAAAACCTACATTACCACATACAGTAAATTAATTGAGAAAGAGAATGAATTTAATGAAGTGACTGTTTCTTCTTCAGCTGCTTTCAAAATTGTGAAATCCTGGCTTGGTCCGGAAGCAGTGAGTTTGTTGAAGTTTACCAGCAAAAATGAAGTCCAGGACTATGTCAGTGTCGAGTATCTGCCTCCCCACATGGGTGGGACTGTAAGTATCGTCCTCGGAATGTGTTTCTAAAATAAGACTGCATCATGGCACATTAGGCTGTATTTCTTTAAGGAAGAAGAAAAAGCAATATCTTAATATCCAGAGAAAGATCATAGATACTCCAAAATAACACCATTACAGACATTTTTTATATAAGTTTTCAAGGTGTTAAATTTTCATTTTGAGAATTTTTAGAATCACATGATTCTAAACTGAAAAGTATTCTATTCAGTACAAATATTCAGAAACAGTATTCAGTAAAAAGTCTTTCTACTGCTATCCTAGTCACTCTCTTCCTCTCCCCAGTTCCATTTCTTATATTTATTTCCATGAATCTGTATTGCCTATGTAAGCAGTACAGTATATTTGTAATACATATAAGCAAATATGTAATTCTTTCTCCCTCCCATCTCTTTTAAACAAGTAGTGTGTTTTTACACCATTATGCGTCCTATTTTTTTCTTTACAACGTGTCTTAGAGATCATTCCAAATCAATATGACAAACTGTTTTACTCTTCTTTATGGTGACATAGTATTCCTGTATCTAGAGATGAACCATAAATTATTTAATTAGTAGCCATGAGTTATTGAATTTTTTTCATGTGCCTTAGTTTGCTTCCATTTGTTTACTGTTGAACAGTCTTTTTAATTTAAAAGATAATCAAGTTTTTTTGAAATGGTTATACTACTTACAAATAAGAGACCAGGAATAAGTAGGTACGTGTTAAATTTTTAATACTACATAACAGTGAAACATACTGTGATAATGATTTTTCCTCTAAACTATGAAAACCTATGGATTTGGTATGCTTTGGGTTAACTTGATTGATAATATTTCAGTTGTTTGATTTTTATAATCTATTTCATATACTGTCTACCTGGCAAAATTGTATTCAACCAGAATCAAGTGACTAGCAAGATAAAAAGTTTTGGTATGTCCTTTTGTTTTCTTTAATAAGAAAAAACTTGAACCAATATTTTTATTTTTTTTTAATTTTATTTCATTATGTTATGTTAGTCACCATACAGTATTTTTAATTTGAAATTTGCGACTTTCCTATTTTAAGGCTTTATATTTTACATTTTAACAAGAACACAGTATGGTTCATTTCAGGTTCTGCCTTTAGTTAAACGAGCTATTTGATTTCTTTTTAATAATTTGCCCATAGAATTGTTATATCTTAAAATTAATGGTATCTAGCAAAAATTGTTTTTAGAGGTAGAAAAGAGTGTCTCCCTTCTCTGTCATTAATGATGTATTTTTTTCAGGACTATACTCAGAATTGTAGTAGGACTACTATTCTTTAACATAATTTTCCCCAAAAGTAATACATAGACCTTTCTTTTTTAAAGCAAACAGTACCAGAAGACTGAAAAGTACAACAGCTTAGTGAAAAGTATGTCTCCCTCCCCACATTACTGCCCACTGCCACTCTCCACAGGCAGTCAGTCACTGTTTCCAAGTTTTCTCTTCTAGAGATATTCTGTCCATTTTATTTTTTCATGTATGTTGTACTAGTTTTTCCACATTTCTTGTTAGGTTATGCCATATTGATTCTTAGAAGTCTACCTGATTTTTTAAACCATTTCAGAATATTCCATTGTATAGATGTAACATAATGTATTTAATCAGTTCTCTTTTGAAGGACTAGTAGTTGTTTCCTAATCTTGCCATTATTAATAGTGCTGCAATGAATATCCTTGTAAATAACTCTTGGTACATGGGTACAGCAGTGTAAGTAGAAGATGAACTCCTAGAGGTAAAATCATCAGGTCAACGGGTATTTGTAGTTTAAATTTTGTTACCTGTTGCCAGTTTCCCTCTAAAGAGATTGTGCTCATTTCCCAATTATGTGTGGCATGCTTGAACCTCATTTTTGTAATCATTGCCAGTCTTGGGTGAAAAATATTGTGGTTTTGCATTTCTGTTGTTGTAAGTGATGATGAGCATTTTTTATTATTTAAAAGGTAGTCTTCTTTTTCTATGAACTCTGTATCATTCCTTTATTTTTTCTGTTATTACTCTTTTCTTGTTGATTTGTATATATTAACAAAAGCTATCTTGTTTCTGATACATGTGGTACATAATTTTCCCAGTTGTGGCTTTAAAGAAAAAAAAAAACTTGGTTTTTTAGGGGGTTTTCTTGGCGAGGGGGTGTGGTTGGTTGGTTGATTGTTGGGTTTTGTTTTTTTTGCAATTCAGAGATGTTTCATTTTAGCGTGCTCCATTTTTATCAATATTTTTATGCCTGCTAGGTTTTGTGCTATGATTAGAAAGGTCTTCAATACTTAGGTTTTGTGTTTTCTGTTTTTTAATCCTGTGTGTTGTTCTGGAGCTTTTTTTTTTTTTTTTAAGCTTACAGGGGTTTTAAAAAAATACACACTTTTGGAGTGCCTGGCTGATTCCATCGGAAGAGCGTGCTACTCTTGATCTCGAGGTCATGGGCTTGAGCCCCACATTGAGGGTAGAGATTACTAAAAAAATAAATAAACTTTTTTAAAAAATACATACTTCAAAGTTTTTATCCATCTGAAATTCTTTTTGGTGCAAAGAATGAGCTAAAGATCCAACTCGGTGCTTTCACAGATGGCTAGCCAGTTGTCCACACCACTTTCTGCTCTTTCCCTTTGTGTTTTGAAATGCTTCCTTTTTTAAAAATTTCACTAATTAAGTCTGGTTTTTTTTCCTTTTTTTTTTTTTTTTTTTGGCCAGGAGAGTGGATTTTAATTTTACTTAGAGAATTATTTCTCTACCCACCTGTTAGCAGGCTGTTATAAAATTCCTTTCTTTTAGGATCCTTTCAAGTATAGCTATCCACCACTAGTAGATGATGACTTCCAGACACCATTGTGTGAAAATGGGCCTATTGCCAGTGAGGATGAAGCTTCAAGTAAAGAAGATATAGAAAGTGATGGCAAAGAAACCCTGGAAACAGTTTCTAGTGAAGAACAAATAACTCTTCTAAAAAAGGTAATTTTAACAACAAAATGGCGTCAAAACCTGTGGCCTGTCCACCATTCTGCAACTAGCTGTGTATGTGATTGTAATTCACTTAACTTGCCGCCCTTCCCCATCTTTGTCTGTAAATAAGAGGAAGGATGGTACTAGCTAACCAGTAGTATCACTGTGGTGTTTAAAAAGGCTGATTTCATGCATTTGTATAAAAATTGGCAAAATGCATTTTGAAGGAATTGTTTTATTGAAAATATTTTTGATTTACCTGAGAGAAAAGTAGTTAGTTTACAACCTTCTACTTCCTCTATTTCAGTTTTGAAAGAGCACTCAGTTATCTTTTTATGAGTCATCAGGGGCTTGATAGAGGGATAAATATGTTATAACTTAGAAGAAATTTAAAGACTAAGGGAAAGACCATGTTATATTTTCTGTAGCGACTTATTGAAGTATGCTCTCATATATGTTCATGGTCATGTTAATATATGTTAAATACATAATTTAGGTGTGCTGAACTTAGGTTAAAGATTGTAATTTGGATTGAATCACTATGTTTACTTTTTGACCTGATGAACTGCCCAGATATCAGCATGAAACTAAATTTCTTTATCTTTTCTTTCTTCATATTTTTTTTTTGTCTTTAGATTAACCTAACCGAACATACTTCCAAAGCAGAAGAAACTGAAAAGGTTGATTCCAAAATGAAAGCTTTCAAAAAACCACTGAGTGTGTTTAAAGGGCCCTTATTACACATCAGGTAATCATAGTTGATTTTTTAGCTATGCTTTTATAACCTGTCTTGATTATCTTGAAGGAATTGCAAAATTAAGAAAACTCCTGTATTATTTTTCAAACTGTGGAAATATAAAATTAAAGGTTATCCAAAGACTCACCTTGGTTTCCAGTCATAGTAGATAATTTAGCTACCTTTTTGTTATTTATTCCATTAAATGTGTTTAAAGGGCCCTCATTTCATATCAGTAAATAAAAGTGAATATTCATATATTCACAGTTAATCTGAATGACATACATTTTTTCTCATTTTACTGGTACTGTTTGGCTTGCATAAGTTCAAGGATGGCAGAAATGACATTGAACTAAGCATTTATCAGTTTGACTTTCTAAAAGCTAAAGCTGAACTAGAAAAATAGGGTTGTTGTTTTTTTACCAAAGCCAGAATTCAGTACATCTCTATTTTTGTTTCTGGGTTACTCAATCTTAAGATTTAGGGTTGTTTGTAATTATCATTATGTAAAGATCTCTTTCTCACTAATGATGCTTTTCGTTGGTAAATCTATATGGCCTTATGTTAATGTTGCTGTACCGACTTTACTTAGTGATGACCTAATGTATCATTTCCCCTCCCATACTTTAAATCTTTCTGTGTAACTGTTTTAGGTATGACTCTTATGAACAATACAGCCAGACTTTTTAAAAATCTGATATTCAAATTGATAAGACTAGTTTGTTTGCATATTTTTGATTACTGTTATATCTGGATTTATCTACCATCTGTGTGTGTTTATGGGGGGACAGAGGTGGGGGACAACACATGCATATTCTGTTCACCGTGGTTTTTCTTTGCCATTTCCCCCCCTGTGGAGTTTGTTTTCCATTTTTCCCTTCACTGGTTTAGAAGTTACACACTGTGTTTTCATTGGAAGCCTGTCAAAACCATAGGTCTTGACTTAGAAATGTCGGGAGTTGGCTGGAAGAGCTGCCTGGGAAGAAAGCCGGAGGGGAACAAGGCAGCGTCTAGGGCTGCAGTTTGGGCTCTTCGGCTCCCTGCCTCTGCCCCTGGGCAGGTCACAGCACTGCTCCTGCACAGGCATGGGGACCCACCAGCGTCTGTCTCTCCACAATGTCTCACGGGTTTTGTGCTGGTTACTGTGAGCGGTTCTGAGATTCATGACCCTTCTCTTCTCTGTGGTCAATTTCAGATTGGGTTCTAAAAAGAAGGCAGCAACCATGCTAATTTGTCTTGTCCAGAGTTGGGCAAAGCCCTCCTCGGAAAGCACGTCCTTAAAAAATGTGTGTCCTCCAAATGACTGTCTCTGATATGTAGGCATTCCTGATATAAAATGAATCTACTTACATATATAGCTCAAAGTGAAGGACAGCCTGAATAATTCACCTTTTTTTTTTAAGATTTTATTTATTTATTTGACACAGAGAGAGAGAGAGAGACAGCGAGAGAGGGAACACAAGCAGGGGGAGTGGGAGAGGGAGAAGCGGACTCCCAGCTGAGCAGGGAGCCCGATGCGGGGCTCGATCCCAGGACCCCGGGATCATGACCTGAGCCGAAGGCAGACGCTTAACGACTGAGCCACCCAGGCGCCCCTCACCTTTTTATCTAAAATAAAAACACTGTTCTGCCCATTGTTTGGAGGCACCTGATACAATTTGACGAATGTAATTAAACTACACAAACTTTGCTTTAGTCTTTTAGTTTTGATTTTAGGTCATGAGTACTACAGCGGCCAGCAATAGTAAAATTTGCACTTTGAGGTTCACTGATTTTACTGTTTAACCAATATTTCCCACCCCAAATTTTATTTTTGTTTTTTGTATTCCATATTACTCAGAAAAAGCCTTTATTATTAAGGAATTACCTAAGGAATTATTCTGTGACTTAAGTACATCTCTAATGACCTTTCATTTTAAGTTATGCTTTTTGGTGTATAGAATTATGTCCCATTCTAATCTCTTTGTAATTAAAGTTGAAGCAGCCGTTTCTTCTTTGTCTTGATTATCTATAACCTTCCAAAGAGTTTAAATGCACCTTAAGATGGTGCTGATTATAGGCTAATTCAGAATCTTCCTAACTCTCTCTCCTGTCCTTTTCCTATTTTGCTTTTGATTCTTGGGGAAAACCATAGGACTTTTAAATAGCATGCAATGAATTAGTAAGATTAAAACACAAACTATATTAGGTAGTTGCCTTATAAGCTTTTCTTTTTTGATGAAATCTCTATACAAATGAGCAGAAAATATTAAACAAATACTTTTCTTCCAGCTAATGATTAGACTGTCATTTATTCCGAATAATACAAATGCCTTATATTTTTGTCACCACCTAGCCCAGCAGAAGAACTGTATTTTGGAAGTACAGAATCTGGAGAGAAGAAAACTTTAATAGTGTTGACAAATGTAACCAAAAACATCGTAGCATTTAAGGTAAATATCAGAAAGATATAATAAATTCTATGTGGAAATCTGATAGGGGAAGTGATCTCAGACATATTTTAATTGAAAGATTGAGAATTTTTAACTTGCACGGTGTTTTTATTTGATATTTTTAGGCATGTAATACTGCCTTCTAGTTTTAACCACGTGGCATAGCTTATCTACAATTTTCCCCAGGATCTATATCTCAATCTTTAATGAGCCATAATAGGCTAACGTCCAAATTAATCCCAGGCTTTAATGTTTGTGGTAAATAAAAACCCAAGGAAAATCACTCTTCATTATATAAATAATTCATAATGACAGTGAAAATAAAACGATAAAATCAAAAGTGCATTTCCCCCTGAGTGTGATATAGTTTGGAATGTAGTTTATACTGGATACTGACCTAATGACTGAGTTTACCACTACCCCATATTGTAAGTATTAAGATGTTCTGGATGTTCTTTGAATATAGTGTGTTTTAATTTGTGAATGCTATTATAACGTGTCCTAATACACAGGGTTTTTTTTAATTTGTATTATTAAATTTAGGAAATTACCAGACAGGATATTTCATAGATTTTTTTTCTTTAAAAGGAAGACTAAGTGACAATTGGACTTACGAGTGAATATTTTTTAAAATAGATTAAGATACCGTTTTCCTATTGATGGGGAAAAATACATTCTATGCCTAACCACCATGGTTGTTTTGTAGACTTTATTATTAACTGTTAATTTTTTAAAACTCATTTTTAAGCCATTTACCCCAAAAGAAACATTTTTCTTATGTTATTAGTTATTATATGACCACTGTATTTATAAACAGGTGAGAACAACTGCTCCAGAAAAATACAGAGTCAAGCCAAGCAACAGCAGTTGTGACCCTGGTGCATCAGTTGATATAGTTGTGTCTCCCCACGGGGGTGAGTTGTGGCCTGATGGCCTCAGAGGGTGTGCTGGGGTACCTGGGGCCGGGTGAGGAGTCCATAGAGCCAGACTAGAATCTAGAAACTAGCTCAGTGTCAACAAGTCACCTCACTGCACTGTAGGCATCTCTTTTCTCCTGTGTAAAATGAGATGGGTCAATGTTTCTCATTACAATGTGTTTTTTTTTAAGATTTTATTTATCTGAGAGAGAGAGCAAGCATAAGCAAGGGGAGTGGCAGGCAGAGAGAGGGAGAAGCAGACTCCCCGCTGAGCAGAGAGCCCAGCGTGGGGCATGAGCCCAGGAACATGACCTGAGCCTAAGGCAGACGCTTAACTGACTGAGCCACCCAGGCGCCCCTAAAATGGTTTTTTAGCACATAAAATTGTTTAAACGGATGCCAGTTGAAATGGGAATTTTTTTTAAATCCTTTTTAGAAAATTTTTTTCTTTAAGGTACTTCCGTATTACTCTTTTTCCATTGTTTTCTACAATAATGCCTTAAACCACGTGTCCAGCCCTTTGTAAAGGTTCTTGTTTATATAGTAAGTTACCCTTTTGGAATGCAGGTTTAACAGTCTCTGCCCAAGACCGTTTCCTGATAATGGCTGCAGAAATGGAACAGTCATCTGGCACGGGCCCAGCAGAATTGACTCAGTTCTGGAAAGAAGTTCCCAGAAACAAAGTGATGGAGCATAGGTATGCTTTTTTACTCAAGGACTCTCAAATGTGATGGGAAGAAGCAGAAGGAGAGAAGTGCCTGCATGGACTAGGCAGGGGTCTCTTCCTTCTTGCATTTGGCAGACATTTAGGCTTCTAGTGTGACCCAGGTGAAGGCGATCTGCAGTTTCGCAAGGAGGTTGCTAATAGCAGACTTGTTTACAGGTCAGTGCAAGAATCTGGAGGTGTCAAAATTACAAACGTAGATCTCTCTGTACCAGCAGTTCCCTTTGTAGGAACACTCACCCTGTGTACTAGAATGTGTGTCTTTCACCATTGTTTGTGCTAATGAAAAAATGGGAAAGAAAGAACCTAAATGATCCTCAGTAAAGCAATAGTCAAATGCACTTGAGTATGTGCGGGAGTATTCTGCAACTATTTGAGACAGTGTGGTAAATCTTTATGTTCTGATACGGAAAAATACCTATGATATATTAGGAGGAAAATCCTTTGCCTACATCAGCATATACAAGCATGTATGTGCATGTAAAGATCTATAGAAAAGGAGAAAAGAGGAGAAACCTGTGTAATGATTTTATTTTGGAGTGTGCCAGTTCTGCCTCCCAGGGGACACTTGTCAGTGTTGGAGAACACTGTCCATTATCACAACTGGGCTTTGGGGTACTGTGGCATCCAGTACTTTGAGACCAGGGATGCTGCTAAACATCCCACAATGCAAAGAACAGAGCCCCCCCCCCCCAAGACAGAATGATCTGGCTCAAAATGTCAGTAGTGCCTAGATTGAGGATTCTCCATGGTGGGTAGTTAAGGAGGGCCACTCTGATGACAAAAATGTAGGACCTGAAGGAAAAGAGAGTAAGCCACTTAGATAACTGGAAAAAGTGCTTTCTAGGTGGAAGGAACCACAACTGAAAAAGTGTGCTTGGCCTGTGTAAGGAACAGCAAGGAGGGAAATGTAGCTTGAACTCAGTTCAGGAGGGTGGGGGAGATAATGTGGGAGATGAGGTCAAAGAGGTAGTAGGAAGGCAGATGATTACCATAGTGAGGACTTCTGATTTTGAGAAGAAAAACTATTAGTCTGGTGCTAAGCAGAGCCAGGAAGTGATTTGGCCTTTTTTAATTAAATTTTTTTTTAAGGCTTATTCTGGGGGCTATGTGGAAAACAAACTCTAGGCAGACACAGGTGAAAGTGAAACTGAGTTAACACAAATAGCGCGTGCTGCAAGCCTGCACCATTCTAAGTGCTTTACTCTGATTTATTCACTTCGTCATTAAAATGACCCTAGGAGGTAGGTAATTCTTTGTCCCCCTTGATAAATGAGAAGCTGGGAAACCTCTTAACAGCCATGGCTGGGTTAAATCTTCAAAAGGAATTGAAAGAATACAGATGTGGCTGGAACACAGAGGTGAAAGGATCCAGGGTAAGAAGAAAGCTGGAGGGATGGACAGGGCCCAGAGGAGGAGCTTGGTCACCCTGGTAAGACCCATGGGAGAGCGTCAACCTGACCTGAGTCACCTTTGACAAGATCACTGCAGGCTTGTTCACAGAAGGGAGGAGGACAGGAGTGGGCCTGGGAAGATAAGCTTTATTTCAGTTGTCCCAGCCTAGAGGAGGATTTAGTGGCCGGAGGACGACCGTCCATCAGGGACTCAGGAGGGAAACCAGTAGGTGAGCTCTGTCATCCAAGTCTAGGAAAGTGTGTTTGACAAAAGAGGAAGGGACCAGTGCTACTAAGTGCTGCCATGCCAATCAGGAAGGATGAAGTGTGAGCGGTGGCTATTGGTGACATCACAGAGGCCATCACTGACCTCATAGAGAGCATTTTCAGTGGGCAGGAACCAGGTTCTAAAGAAATGAAGGTAATAGCACTGTTCTACAGGTTTGGTTTGTTGGAGGAAGGAAGAATGTGGTGTTGACAAAGGGCTTGTTTGGTGTGGGTTTTTCAATGGGAGAAGCCGACTCTAGAAGGTAAATCATTGATTGATAGGTCCTGTCCCTTCAGCTTTCTCAGGAATTGCACTAAAGCCAAGGTATGGGTCAGCTTTAGTCAGGAAGAAGGAAGGAACGCAGATACACATTAAGGCTCGTGGTGGGCTTGACTTGTTTTTAGATGGAGTAGTTACATATTTAAATTTCCATATTGTAACAGGGTCTACTTTCTCCTCATCAAGAGTTTACTTTTGTCAAAGGCATGGCTATGAAAACAAACTGAAAGATTAAGTAACACTGGTATAAAAGATGGAGATTAATTTGAAGTTCTTATCAAACAGTCCCTCAAAAGCAGGTTATTTTTTGTCTTTTTAAATCAATTCCTTATGGTTTGGTTTTCTGTAAGTCAAGAGAGGCTCGCTTACCTCACAGAAAGAGGGAGACTTGGTGGTTTGATACTGAAGGCCCAGGTAAAGCAACGACCCCTATCTAGAAAGGGTGGTTTCCTTCAAGTAGTAAGATGGGGTGAATTCTACTGAACACCATATAAAAAAAACTTTTCCTAGGTTCTTGAGCGGTATGTGTGATTGCTTGTGTTATTATACATTGCCTCTACCCACCTTAAATACCATCTCCAGCGAAAGACAAAAGTGGGGAGCGGGGAGCCAGTTATGAGAGGTTATCAGGAAAAGCACAGTCAACAAGGGTAAGGTTATTTTACAGATTTAGATTAATTCCTCTCCTCGAAGCCCCTGAGCCTGCCAAGGTAAGGGACCTTCCTTACTCACCTGGTGAGGCTGTCCAGAATTCTGTAAGCAAGGTTACAGGTCCATTTTTTCCAAGGAGCTTTATTGGTTCCATAAAGTCAATCTTAGTTCCTTAAAGTTCTGGTCATACCTGATTTTATGCATATTATTTTCAAATATGACATTCCAGTCAAAGCCTTGGTAATATAACCATGCTTCCAATTGTGTCCTATTAATTACAAGGAGAACAGATTATTATGCGGGAAAAAAAAAACTATTACCATGAAAGAATACTAAGAGTTTCTGAATTCTGGAAGAATCAGGTAGGGAGAAAAATTGTTTCAGTCCTGATCACAAAAGTAGTTTACCGAATTACTGCCAATCATAGATAGCTTATGAGAAAAGAGTAAAAGATTACCTTAAATCTGGGAAAACCAAACATTAAAGAACCAGCAATAAAAAGTATAGTCATCAGTTCATTCAATCCCATGTTATTAATTCTTGGTCTGCTTGAATCCTGTTTTTTTAGTTCTTGAAGTTCTTACCCAGTTCAGTCTTATGATCTGAAAGTTACTAGAAACCTGTTTTTAGGAGTACTTGTCAGAGTCCTTTCCATGAATCTCTGAAGATGAAACCCATTTGCAAAAGGATCAGAGTAAAACAATAGCTTCTTTAAGTGACAAAAAGACTTAAAAATGGCCATGGTTACAGATCTGATGAGAGTTTATGGTAATACAGCTTCTGACAAGGAAATTTGGTTATTTCTGTGACATATACAGCATTGTAAGATAATAACTAGAATTACAAACCATAACGTTATACCACGACATTCTAGGAATTTTATACAATTTCTGGAACACTTTTATATTAATAACATACCTATACAAATATAATCTAAAGAAGGTTTAGTATTACTTATTTGACAATGCTTCCCATGTAATTTAACATAGCAAATAAGCCTAATTAGTTTTACATCTTTTTTTAAGATTTTATTTATTTATTTGACAGAGACAGCTAGAGAGGGAACACAGGCAGAGGGAGTAGGAAAGGGAGAAGCAGGCCTCCTGCCGAGCAGGGAGCCCGATGCGGGGCTCGATCCCAGGGCCCTCTGAAAAATTTCAGAGATGTTCAAGGTCAAAAAGACTTCATTTAGAATTTGAGTTGGGGTCTGTCAAAAACGTCAGAAGGTTTTAGACACTTTAGACTAAATGGGATCATAAGTCATCATGAAATAATAATTATCCATTTAACCATAGTGACAATAAAATATCAAAGGCACATACAGTTACATAGTTGTGAGTAAAACTTAGGAAAATAGTCTTCTAAAGATTAAAAGAGCTAAACAATCAAAGAGCTCTTGATAAAGATAACATGGAGCACAGGAAATTATTTTGATAAAACGCACCATCTTTGCTTTCTAGGCAGATTACTTAAAAGCTAAAGAAAAGCCTTTTGCAGTCTCTTCTCAGTAGCTGACTGATAGTCCAAGAAAAGGTTGTCCTTTTAGCAGATGAAATTTTTAGTTTTACATAAGTACACTGTTGATGTTGAAGCTTATTTGTATATAACCTTTATAACTAATACACTCAATTTTAGCCAGCTTGACTACACAAAGTGAAATTTTCTCTTTCCAACTGTCTATATCCATTTAGTTTGTCCTTTATTATCTTCCCTATTCTGAAATAACCAGCTTTATTATAAGAGAAAATTACTTTCATTCCCCTTAACAAAAATACATGTCCATATTTCATACATTTCCTCAGCCAAAACACATCCTATTTTCCTTGCACATGGAGTTAGTTGCTTCTATTATTTCTAGCAATTACATATATGAATTAGAATTCTTAACCCTTAGAAACCATGATTTCTAGTGAAAACTAAGTGGTAAGCAACTGTGTTAACACCAGCATTCTGTAGATTGGCAAATTTATGAATACATCATTTCTAGAAGCATATGCTTTCTCATAGTACAGTTTTTCAGTGTGGCACAAGATAGATATGTTTACTAACAGACTAAATATTTTTAGTCCCTCTGTAGTAAGAAGCCAAAAGTAGATACTTAAACCGATGTTTAGTAATTAATGTTTCAGTATTTTATCTTACAGTCAGTGATTTTCCCGTCTAACTTAGCAAAACTAAAGTTTCAAGTTGTCAGATTTGAAAACCTGTTTTTAAGTAGACTTCACCTAAAAACTCTTATCCGACTTACTTCTAAATCACTTGCTTTCAACTCTTATCCAACTTACTTCTAAATCACTTGCTTCCAACAATTATGCTTGACTACTCATGACAGCTTCATGAAACATCAGAGTCAGTCATCATCCCAAGCTATTTTTCGTGCTGACAAATTATGTACCCAAGATAACATGAACCCATCTGAATAGTAAACTCCAGAAGAAAAAAAAGTTGCATGTCTGCATTGTATCTAATATTGACAACTTTAAACCAGCAAATTTAGCTTTTATTTTACCTAGAATTAATATATATCACATGAACTTGAAAGACACGGGTTAGTTTCTGTATTTCTAAGAGGTTTAGGAATACTTAACTTGGTAAGTACTTATTTTTCTTTAAGCCAATCAAAGAGAGCTTTTACAAATTAATTTTCACAATACCATCCTGAGGTGGAAAAGCATTACACATCTGTAACATATATATAGAGACACACATAAACGTAGAGACACACATAAACATACAGACACAGAGACCTTTTAGCTATAGCTCTAAAATTTTAGCCATGAATCAGGTACAGTAACACAAAACTCACTAGTTTATATAAAAGAACATTTACGTTCAAATTGTGTTTCTGACAGTTGGAATCAGTTTGCCTGCTCAGATGGCTAAAAGCTTTTTACTGTTTTTTTTTTGTTTTTTTTTTTTTCATTTGCCAAAATCCCAAATAACCCCTTTTTCCTTCTGATGAGAATCACTTCCCTAAAGTTTGTATTTCAAAGAGGTAGCTGTCAGGTCCTAGAGAAGATAGGGCAGAAAATCTGTACCTCAAAGGCACAGAGAAAGTATCAAGGGGTTTTGGGATATATTTGCCTATTATCTGATGTCCAAAGTAATTTCTATTTCTGTGTTCTTTTTCTTAAGCACAGGACAGTTCTGTTTTCCAACATCCTGATCTTTTACAGTACCTACATCTATTTTGAGATGACTAGGGGAGGTTTTAGGATTGGTAAGGTTAGGTGGACTTCGAATTGCTTCCAGTGTTGCATTTCTGGTTTTGTAAAGATTTGCAAGTCAAAGATTTGCTTTTAATTACTCAAATAATTCTTTTGCAGCCTGAATGGTATCAAGGGACTGATACCACCCATGCAACTACATTTTCTTCAATTTGCTCTATATCTGGGAGAAATTTCCAACTAAGATGGAAAGGAAGTGATTTCTATGTTTTGGAGCTTCAGGGTTTAATGCACTATGCCTTTAAAAAGTTTATATAAAGTATTCCACAAAGGCCTTAAAGGGGAAGAAAAAAACCCTTACTATTGCTTCTAGCAGCCCCCAAACATCAGCCTTCAGCTGACCCATTTCCTGAACATTTGTGGGAGGGCCTGGGAGAAATTTTGGTCATGTTTCTAGTGAGGAGAGTTTTCCATGGGGGAGCCAGGTGGCTTGTCTGATAACTACAGTATAATCGTGGGTGGGAAGAACAACCCTTAGCAGCTAGTCACAGTCCCTGTGAGTGGTGAATGAGTGGCCACTAATCTTTTACCTCTTCTCTATATTTGGCACGTATCTTCTGAACGTGGAGGTAAGAAGAACTTCATAATTTCATCTTGCTTAGGAAGTCTCTCAGGCTGGTGGCCATTCTCCTTCATATTCTCCTTTCAATTTGGTCTTTCCAGAGGTACAAGTTAAGACAATTGCTTAGGATGAGAGCTCTCTCAAAGTTTTTTAAACATAGAAGCTTTTCCAATTCAAAAGATCCATCATCTGGCATTGAAAAGTAGGATCTTATATTAATCTCAATAGCGACTCGACTCAAGCCAATAGGCCTTCTTTTGGTTTAACCATGGACATAAAGAGGCATCCCCAGAGACGTGCAAAAAAATGCAGTCCTCACAGGATCCCGAGAGTTAGCATAAGAAAGCAAAGACTTCCATTGCTCCAAGTGGTAAGAATGGTGTAGTGAAGGTGCTATCTCTCCTTTCCCACAAGAATGTGAGAGGCCTCCAGTCTAAGACCGTCTAATCTGTGACATCAGGGAAGGGTTTACTGGATTGGACTTTTCCAGCACTAATGACCACAAAAGCTGAGAGGACAAAGGCCCCTCATGGATTGGGGCCCCTAATGACAAACTGCCCTGAGAGCTGGCACAGCTGGACAGAGAGGATGCTGCCTGTCACTTTGTGCCTCAGATCCCCAGCCTATTCCACTAGCTGCCAGACACCTGTGGACACATGCATCCTCCCCAGCTGACAGGGACCAAAAAGAATATTCTTGCTGGTCACAACACCAAGCTCTCGAGACCTAGAACAAGATGAAACGAAGACCTCATTTGACCTATTTTCTTCTGCTAATCTAAATTTGGAAAGGAAGGGACAAGGTCAAATTTTGACCTTTCTCTCTCGACCTGGCACCAGAGTGAGATCCAGGAAAGCGGGCTTTGGTAAGAATTCTTACCTTTGCCGGCTTTTGCCGGTTTTCCACGCTCCCATCTGTAGGCTCCCAGGCGAGTACGGTGTTTCAGCAGGCCCCAGCGTAGGTTGCCAAAATGTAGGAGAGGAAAAATTACTTATCATCTACCATGCTAGGTTCTTGGCTGAGACCCCCACCCCCTGAAATAATAATTAATAGGAGAAAAGCAGAAGTTTAATACCATGTATACCTCCTGTATATATGGGAGATACCCAGGAAAACAGTTAAACTCCCCAAAGTGGCCCAAGACACCACCTTAAATACCATCTCCAGCTCAAGACAAGATGTTGGGGCGTAAGGGAGTCCATTATGGGGGGCTGTCAGGAAAATCATAGTGAACAAGGGTAAAGTGGTTCAGCAGATGTCGATTGGTCCCTTTTCCATTAAATGTTAATTTAAAAAAAAAATCTGCCCTTTAACAACTCACTTGTACTAAAAATTAAAAATTAAAAAAAGAGTTCTTAGAGATTTCTGTCATCCCCTCGTCCTGGCAGGGAGAGGAAGACACCCTTATAGATGGACCTTTCCTTCCCTTATTGATGGCCGTGTCCCTGACAAAAGGTTTTCAAAGCTTTTCTTAGGTCTGCTGTTTCTTAAAAAATAACCAGCTCCAGATAATCCTTGTGCCAGAGAGGCGCATTTGGGGGTGGCCAGTTGTGCTCCCCTTCCAAGATAGATCCACAGTGAGCTGCCACCATACATGTGTATCTGGGGAGGAGGAGGACTTGCATCCCGGTTACATGAACTTCTGTGTTTGACTTTTCTCACATTATACTTTTATAAAAAAAATTTCATTAAAAATTTTAAGAAGTTGTGTTTCCTTTGGACTTTCATAGGTTAAGATGCCATATTGTTGAGAGCAGTAAACCAACCACTCTGACATTAAAAGACAGTGCTTTTAACATGTCTGATAAAACCAGTGAAGATCTTTATCTGCAAGTAAGTGTTCTTTCTCCCTAACTAAAACAGAGGTGTTAAGCTAACTAATATTAGTAATCCACTTTTTCCCCACTGATGTAAGGAAGACCTTTGGCATAGACATGACAGAAATGCTCTTTTCTTTGTGAAGGGAAGCCAAATCTGAAATCGTAAGTGGTGAGTTACTTTTGGAGATCTATTAACTTTTGAAAAGCTCTGGCCATTTTAATTTGGACAAGTTGTATGGTGCCTGGGGGAGTACCAAAGAATCTGATCTCATGAGAGGAGTACCATTTCAACTTGAAAAAGATGGAGGGGCTCTCTTTCTGAGTAGCTGGTTTAGGTACCGCCAGGAAGGTACTTGCTTTGCTCCTTCTCCACTAGAAAATTAGACCTTTCCAAAACAGGAGTGAGAGGGTGCACGTCTATTCACCAAACAAATGTAATCCCTCATGGCATTGCCAGCTCCCAGCTGCTCAGAGTGGATAGACCCCATCCTGTAAATGGTTGGGTTTCTAATATTCCTATTTGTCGTTTACATGATTCATGTACTGTTTTACTGATATAAATCTTTCATCCTTTTTTCCCTCTTTAGCTCAGTCGTTTACTAGAAAGCAATAGGAAGCTTGAAGACCAAGTTCAGCGTTGTATCTGGTTCCAGCAGCTACTGCTTTCCTTAACAATGCTCTTGCTTGCTTTTGTCATCTCTTTCTTCTATTTGTTGTACAGTTAAAGAAGTGGCACTCGGTAGGAAACAAGGTTCTTTCGTTCATTAGTTGGAAAAAGACCCAGAACTTCATGCTACTAAAAGTGCCGCACATCTGTGCTTCCTGAAAGGAAATTTGCCGCACTTAGAGGGGGACATGTCTTGAAAATAAAGTCTGTTAGAATAAGGAAACACTGGAGAAATTGATTATAAGAGACTATAGCTGTAGTTAGCCAAGTCAAGGCATAGCCGTGTGTAAATTAATACTTTAGATATAATTTATTTTTTCCTTTCGATTTGAAGACTTCTGAAGTTTAAGTTGTATTATATATATACATTAGCTGAACTGAAAAGTGTAAGTAACAAGCTTTGTTGCAGCCAAAAATGTCATCTGCTTTTTTTTAATGACAAAATCATTATAGCTGAGCCAACTTACTAGCTTTTCTATACTATGTATATAGAACATGTATATTGAAAAAACCATACTTATACAGAGTAATTTCTTTAAACATGACTTTGTAATTTTGAGAATTACTTCCAGATGCTAGTCAATATTCTTTGAGTATGTAAAACTATTTAATGCCAAACCACCTTTAGCCTTTGTTTCTTATCTGTCTTCCTTAAAGTCTGCCTTTTATTAATCTTGGACTTTTTAATGAATACTCACATTTAGGTAGAACTGGGGAAACTAAGTTTGGTTGGGTTTTCCTTGAATTCTGTCAGTGGCACAGAGAAGAAAAATCCTTTCGGTCCCACTTTCCAGTCTTTTTTATGCGGTGTCACATTGCTCACGGTGGCTGGACACTGACCCGTATGCTTCAGTATTAGAAAGGCCTACTCCAATGTTGTACCATCTTCACCCTCTTTTCTAAACGAGTTAAAATTTCTTTGAAAAGTTAGTTTTTGAGAGGCATAGCCGTAGAATTCATTTACATTTCAGGTCCTTGTTAAAATCAGCCACCAGAAGGAAACTTGACAAAAAGACTAGAGGATCTAGAAGCATGAAAAAAAAAAATCAAAACTCAAGTGTCAAGTGTCCATTTCTGAGTGAAAAGTAGAACTCATGATCCACTTGTACCACCTTCAGACTGGGGCTGATGGACTTGCTGGATCTTCTGCCCTTGTCACAGTAATCCCAAGGGTGGTTCCTGAGTGCCTAAGATGATACGACTCGCAGGGGCAGAGGTGGATAAAAAGAGTTTGTTTTCTCATTTATACAGCCAGTTTCAGTCCGTGTTGGTTCACGTGTAAATCTACTTGATATGAAAGAAAAAGAGTCTGCCTGTTAAATAAATGTTGAGTTTTGATTGAGCCATGCTTGGAGAATGTTTTCTTCTGAAGTGTGGTGTTGGCGGCTTTCATCTGGAGAAGCTGATGATTCCAACACTGAGTTGTGAAGAATGATATAATAGAGTCCCTTCAAAATTGGCCTAGAAATAAAACCTTAAAAGGACACTGGTCTGGTAACTTTGTCTTAATTTGGGTTTTTCTGTTGCAGTTTGCCAACTCCAGACGTGAAACAGTACACCCTAAGTACTGGCCGTAGTATCTCCCTGTGTGTGTGTGTCACATCCCCGGCTTGACTATCCTCTAACCCCAAAGTATTTGTGTATGTTTTTTGTTCCTCAGCAGAGAAATGAGGAAATCATTGGTCAGAATTGGAAGCGTGCTGTCCTAACTAACAGTGTCCCTTTAATGTTTCTGATGAAAATGACATTGACTCGCTAAGTTGTTCTTCCCTGATGTCTGGCCAGTTCATTGAATAACCTATCTTGTTAATGTTTGTGTGTCTATTCAATGTGACTATGCAAGAGTACTGAAAATTAACGATAAAATCAAAGGCATCTGAACTTTTGTTCTTGTCTTAACTAATCACCTATTTACATTTGATTTTCTTCTGTCTTCTTTTGATTTTATTTCATCATACTTTGTATGATTATTACTCTGAGGACTCTGATAATAATTTTATTTTTTAGCTTGTCATTAGCTGTTCATGACCAGATTACCAGGGATCAACATTGAGATTTAGATTGTTTTCACTTGAGAATGGAAATTAATAGACTTTCCATGAAAATAAACTATCATTAGCTTGATCTGAAACTAGCCTAAAAATGCAATTGCGGTTAAACCTAGCCTCAAATTTCATAGTAATACCATAACTGTTTTTATATCTTGCCACTAATTTTGACTGGATTTAATAGCACTTTATTGTACAATTGCAAAAAAAAAAATATATTCCTAGAATTGTTGCCAGTGTAATTTCTCTAATATTCTGGTGCTTTTCATATATTTTCAGTATTTTTATTACTATATTGGTATTTTCTTTGTATAATTGATCAAAAGAACATGTTTTCTATTTTAATATGTTTTAGAAAAATAATTACATTTATGAAATAAATATCATCAGGAAAAACTTCTGGTCTCTAATTGATAAAGCATCTTAAAATCAATGCTCCGGCATACTCTGACCTTTCAAAGATCCCATTAATTTCTTTTGGACCTGCTTTGCATTTTTATAAGGACAGTGCTGTAAGCTTCCAGAGTTACAGTTGTGTTATCAGGTGAACCTGTCCTTTGTATGTCCCGTTTCTCCTCAACCCGGGTCAGGGTCTGGTTACTCTTCAGTGGAGCTCTCCATTATCCCCAAGCTTAACACTGGACTCACTGTCATGACTGGGGGCTCCATCGTGGAACCTTCTGTAGAGCTGCCCCACATGAGCCAGAACTGCCCAACGTCCCCTCAATCCTAGTACACCTTCCCACCTGACAGGAAGCAGGCTGTGGAGAGACAGCCCTACCTGGCTCCTGGGTCCCTGGAAGGCAATCCCTGTGCTGAGGCATCCACAGGGTGTGGGTGTGGCTGGGAGGGGCCTGAGAATGATTGGTGTGGTCCCCTCACCACTGGAAGATAACCCCCACGTGATAGCTACCACTCCATAAAAATAGACTAACACAGATCCATCTTCTAAACTGAAAAACAGCCCATCTGCCCAGGACTGTGAGGCCGTGCCCTCCCTTCCTAAAAGATACAATTTTCTAGGAAACAAAAGCTCCTGGGGGGAAAGTTCCAGCTAGGGAAGGATTGGTTCCTTTACACCCATCTTCTGCTTTCTCCCCAAAGTTTTCAACAACTCGAAGTTCCCTGATGTCCGAACAGCATCAGCCCCCCGAAGCACAGGGCTCCCCTTCTCTCCCTGCCCCAGGAAGACAGAATGGAAGTTGTCCCGTCTGTTCCATTGGAGGCAAAGGCAGTTAGGAGTGAGGGCTCTGTAGTCAGGCTAGCTGGGTGCATGCAGCTGCCCTCCGCACCACCTGCTGCCTGTGTGACGGCAATGTTAATTGACCTCCTTGGGCCTCAGTTTCCCCATCTCAGGCTGATACTCGTAGTGCTGCTGTGCAGGACGAGTGGGACAGTGAGGGGAAAGAAGGCACTTGAAGCAGCCCCGAAGAGGCTGGCCTTGCTTTGCTGCTGTTGCCCCCAACACCTTCCATCCCAGCTTCCTAGAACTTTCCACATCTGGGTTGATCTCACTGAATATACCACCTCATTCAAAGCCAATCAGCAGTTCTCCAAACTTTTCCCTGCCTTGTACTCCCACCCTTGCCTTCCTGCTACCCCACTCTTAATTCTAGTGCTCAGGTCAAGGGATATACTTTAGAAGGGTAGTGATGACTGGCTGCCTTGAATCCTCTGAAGGAATATCCCTTCCAAAAAAACACTTTGGTCAGATGTTTCCTTCTACCATTGCACCCACATCCCTTCAGAACAAACACACGGAATTGATCTCGCAATATTCCACCCATAAGTTTCCCTTAAATGTGTAACAATTCAACAAAAATACCACATAGGCACTTTTATATCTTGTAATTTTGTCCTTCCGTGGAATAAAATTAACTCTCTGAATTGTCTAAAGATTCTCTTCCTATCCTACCCACCGGTGTCCCCTGCCATGCAAAATAAAACTAATATACGCGTTAAAGTATTTGAGACAACTGGTTCAATGGGCAAGAATATAGAGGAACATCTCCTTGACCCAGAGGGGCAAAATAGGTGCACACTTCCAAGTCTTTCTAAAGGGGGAATTTGAGTGGTTCTTGAAACTCTACCAGTTGGCCCATGCTCCTTTGTCCTCAACCGTCTGGGAATACATAATAAGGTCTTGTGTTTTACCCAGAAGGAAACCCAAGGCCAGAGAAATAATTCTCGTCCCAAGGTCATGTGGCTAGTTGCTTTCAGAGCCAAGAGTTGAACTAGTCTCCCAAGTCTAATGCTTACCTGTTTTACAACCACCCAGAGCCAATCTGAGTGATAGTTTAAAATGTTCAAAGGACAGGTCTGAGAACTTTACCGTCACCAAACAGCAGGAGAGGAAAAGAGAAGATCAACTACTTAAAGAGAAGCAGAGGTGACAAGACACAATTGCCGCTCAAGACCCTTGGCTGGAAAAGTAAGTTTCTTGGTTTTCTAAGCTACAGACCGTACTTTGACAAAGATGTGAAACCTATGGGTTAATGTACTATTTACTTGGATGGAGGGTTTTGGCTTGCATCCTCAGCCTTGTCAGAGGTTTATCTAGCACTCCAGAGAAGGGCATCTACTAGCTGTGTGGCCCAAAGTTGTCTCAGCCACAGTCTAGTGACCTCAAGGAGTCTTGTGTTCAATAAAATTAGAGCATTTAAGTTTTCTGTTTCCATATAACAAATGACCACAAATCTACCATCTGAAAACCACACAAATTATCTCACAGTTTGCATGTGTCGAGCCTGGCACAATGGGGCTGGGTTCTTGGCTCAAGGTCTTACAACACTACAGCTATGCTGTCAGCCAACTGCATCCTCCCTGGAGGCTCAACGGGATCAAGATCCACTTCCAAGTGCCTTCAGGTTGTTGGCAGAATCCTTTTTCTTGGGGCTGTAGGACTAAGGTCTTCAAGTTCTTGCTGGCTATCAGCCGGGGACTGCTCTTCAACTCCTAGAGGCCACTCCCAGGCCTTTGCTAAATGGCCTCCTGGATAGGCAGTACACAACATGGCTGTTCTCACTTCAAATCTCTTCTTTCAGGGAGGGCCCCGTTAAGGGATCACCTGATTAGGTCAGGCCCACCCAGGACAATCTCCCTACTGATGAACTCAGAGGTAACTGATGAAGAATCTTAATTATATCCGCAAAATCCCTTCTTCTATATAAGCTAACTTGGATTATGAAAGTGCTATCCCATCACATCCACTAGCTCTGGCCCCCACTCAAGGGGAGAGGGTTACACAGGGTGTGTTGGGTGGGAATCTGCAAGCTCATCCAATCTAGTCCCCCCATTTTGCAGATCGGGAAATAGAGGGTCAGAAAGCTAAACCAACCTTACCCAGTCTAACTGCTTTGAATTCACAGATGTCCTGCACAAGAAAATAGCCTAGAATTATGTTAGGCACTAAATGACAGGCATGGGGACAGTAGGTCTCTATCCCAGTTGGCTTTCTCCAGTCTCATAGCTTCAGTGCACACATGTATTCAGACTTTTATAAATAAACTTAAGGGAAAGTGTGTAGCCAGTATTTTCAACATTTGTTCATTATACACCCCAGATACATTCTTACAATGGATTAACTGTGCTAGGGCAAAGGGGACTTCCAGTAATTATGTGCTTTTGTAAACAAAGCTCTAGTGGAAAACAGTTTTTCAACTTTCTCTTCTCTTTCAGAATAACCCATTCACTTCAATTAGTTTAATTAAATTAGTTTTCTTGGACATAAATATGCTCTGTGAATCTAGCTACATGAGAAGGTTAAAACTCTAAGAAAGGGGGAAAATCCTTTTCTTACAGAAACTCACATCATGATTCCCAGCATTTGTACTGTCCAATTTACTTTGGATCAAATTCCAGCACACTGAATTCTATTATTCCAGAAAGTTCCCTGCAAATTTTCAGGCAATACTAGAGCTCTGTGGGTTCGTGTGTGTGTGTGTGTGTGTGTGTGTGTGTGTGTTGAAAAATCTCACTAGTTTTTGGAAGTCCTCTAAAACTGCCCTGCATGGATTTGCTATTGCCTCACAAATTCAGACTTGATTTCCCCTTCTATGTAGGTCTTCTTGTTTCTGACTGCAAGAAACCTCCAAACTCCTAATATTATGCCTGTCCCCTGTTGCTGGATCTGGGACAATAATAAAGAAGTGAATCATTTGTCTTTCCCACTCCAGTACTCCTCTACCTTTTCTGCACCAAGCCCTCGCTCTAATACTAGCATACAGATTCATTCAGTACAATTACTATTTGCAGTTAGATTTGCCCTGAATTGCTTTTGCCCGCTAATAGGCAAATGTGCTTGAGCAACTTGAGTCAAATACCAAATCACTGTTCTCTGTCATAAAATAAATGTCAAAAATGTGTTTTGGGCACTTTTCCAATATTCTAACTCTATGACTCAAGCTACTGCCTTTTTTTTTTTTTTAATTTTATTATGTTATGTTAGTCACCATACATGATTGGTTTTTGATGTGGTGATCCACGATCCATTGTTTTCGTATAACACCCAGTGCTCCATGCAGTACGAGCCCTCCTTAATACCCATCACCGGGCTAACCAATTCCCCCTCCCCCCTCCCCTCTAAAACCCTGGTTGTTTCTCAGAGTCCATAGTCTCTCATGGTTCATCTCTCCCTCCAATTCCCCCCCCCCCATTTTTCCCTTCCTTCTCCTAATGTCCTCCATGCTATTCCTTATGTTCCACAAATAAGTGAAACCATATGATAATTGACTTTCTCTGCTTGACTTATTTCACTTAGCATCATCTCCTCCAGTCCCATCCATGTTGTTGTAAAAGTTGGGTATTCATCTTTTCTGATGGCTGAGTAATATTCCATTGTACATATGGACCACATCTTCTTTATCCATTCATGTGTTGAAGGGCATCTCGGCTCTTTCCACAGTTTGGCTATTGTGGACATTGCTGCTATGAACATTGGGGTGCATATGGCCCTTCTTTTCACTACATCTGTGTCTTTGGGGTAAATACCCAGGAGTGCAATTGCTGGGTCATAGGGTAGCTCTATTTTTAAATTTTTGAGGAACCTCCACACTGTTTTCCAGAGTGGCTGTACCAACTTGCATTCCCACCAACAGTGTAAGAGGGTTCCCCTTTCTCCACAACCTCTCCAACATTTGTTGTTTCTTGCCCTGTCCATTTTTGCCATTCTAACTGGTGTAAGGTGGTATCTCAATGTGGTTTTGATTTGGATTTCCCTGATGGCTAACGATGATGAACATTTTTTCATGTGTCTGTTAGCCATTTGTATGTCTTCTTCAGAGAAGTGTCTTTTCATATCTTCTGCCCACTTTTTGACTTGATTATTTGTTTTTTGGGTGTTGCGTTTGAGAAGTTCTTTATAGATCTTGGATACCAGCCCTTTATCTGTAGTGTCATTTGCAAATATCGTCTCCCATTCTGTGGGTTGCCTCTTTGTTTTGTTGACTGTTTCCTTTGCTGTGCAGAAGATTTTTATCTTGATGAAGTCCCAAAAGTTCATTTTTGCTTTTGTTTCACTAGCTTTTGGAGAAGTATCTTAAAAGAAGTTGCTGTGGCCGATGTCAAAGAGGTTACTGCCTATGTTCTCCTCTAGGATTTTGATGGATTCCTGTCTCACATTGAGGTCTTTCATCCATTTTGAGTTTATCTTTGTGTAGGGTGTTAGAGAATGGTCGACTTTCATTCTTCTGCATGTGGCTGTCCAATTTTCCCAGCACCATTTATTGAAGAGACTGTCTTTTTTCCATTGCATGTTTTTTCCTGCTTTGTCAAAGATTATTTGACCATAGAGTTGACGGTCCATATCCGGGTTCTCTATTCTGTTCCATTGGTCTGTATGTCTGTTTTTGTGCCAGTACCATGCTGTCTTGGTGATCACTGCTTTGTAATAGAGCTTGAAATCAGGCAACGTGATGTCCCCAGCTTTGTTTTTCAACATCTCCTGGGCAATTGGGGTCTTTTCTGATTCCATACAAATTTTAGGATTGTTTGTTCCAGCACTTTGAAAAATGTCATTGGAATTTTGATCGGGATGGCATTGAAGGTATAGATTGCTCTGGGTAGCACAGACATTTTAACAATGTTTACTCTTCTGATCCATGAGCATGGAATATTTTTCCATCTTTTTGTGTCTTCTTCAATTTCTTTCATGAGTGTTTTGTAGTTCCCAGAGTATAGATTCTTTACCTCTTTGGTTAGGTTTATTCCAAGCTATCTTATGGTTTTTGGTGCTATTGTAAATGGAATCATTTCTCTAATTTCTCTTTCTACAGTTGCGTTGTTAGTGTATAAGAAAGCAACTGATTTCTGTGCTTTGATTTTGTATCCTGCCACATGACTGAATTGCTGGATGAGTTCTAGTAATTTGGGGGTGGAGTCTTTTGGGTTTTCCACATAAAGTATCATGTCGTCTGCGAAAAGAGAGAGTTTGACTTCTTCTTTGCCAATTTGAATACCTTTTATTTCTTTTTGTTGTCTGATTGCTGTTGCTAGGACTTCTAGTACTATGTTGAACAATAGTGGCGAGAGTGGGCATCCTTGACGTGTTCCTGATCTTAAGGGAAAGGCTCTCAGCTTTTCCCCATTGAGGATGATATTCGCTGTGGGTTTGTCATAGATGGATTTTATGAACTTGAGGAATGTTCCCTCTATCCCTATATTCTTAAGAGTTTTAATTTGTCAAATGCTTTTTCTGCATCAATTGAGAGGACCATATGATTCTTCTCCCTCCTCTTATTAATGTGTTCTATCACATTAATTGATTTGTGAATGTTGAACCACCCTTCTTGCATCCCAGGGATAAATCCCACTTGGTCGTGGTGGATGATCCTTTTAATGTATTGTTGGATCCTATTAGCTAGGATTTTGTTGAGGATTTTGGAATCCATATTCATCAGGGATATCGGTCTGAAATTCTCCTTTTTGATGGGGTCTTTGCCTGGTTTGGGGACTAAGGTAATGCTGGCCTCATAGAATGAGTTTGGAAGTTTTCCTTCTGTTTCTATTTTTTGAAACAGCTTCAGTAGAATAGGTATTCTTTCTTCTTTGAATGTTTGGTAGAATTCCCCAGGGAATCCATCAGGCCCTGGACTCTTGTTTTTTGGGAGGTTTTGGATCACTGCTTCAATCTCGTTACTGGTTATTGGCCTATTCAGGTTGTCAATTTCTTCCTGTTTCAGTCTTGGCAGCTTATAGGTTTCCAGGAAGGCCTCCATTTCATCCAGATGGCTCAGTTTATTGGCATATAGTTGTTGATAATAATTTCTAATAATTGTTTCTATTTCCTTGGTGTTAGTCGTGATCTCTCCCCTTTCATTCATAATTTTATTAATTTGGGTCCTTTCTCTTTTCTTTTGGATAAGTCTGGCCAGTGGTTTATCAATCTTATTAATTCTTTCAAAGAACCAACTTCTAGTTTCGTTGATCTGATCT